GGTGGCAGGGAACTGCCCAAGGGCAGGAACACCAGGCACTCATGCATCGCCTCCAGCTCTTGTCACCAGACCCGTCCTCACCAGAGCAAGGATCCTGCCCATGGGTGCTTCCTGTCCTGGAGAGGGGATCCAGAGCTGGCCTGCCCCTGCTTGCCGGGGTCCCAGTGCCCCAAGCCCTTTTTCACACACAGGCTGCAGTGCTGTAGCTCACATCACTTGTGGGACTGTGAAAGAAGGGGGCTCCAGACTTCCATGTTCCCATGGCCGCACCTTTAGGGGGCTTGGTCTGTGCAGGGCAGGGGAGTGGGCTGGACATGCTTCCCAACAGCGGCTGACTGCAACCAGAGGCTGTGTTGTGGAACCGCAGGCAAAGAGCCAGATCTGCTGCTGCTGAGCCGGACTGCACCTGAGGAAGGCGGCACCATGTCTTGGTTACAGCCTGCTGCCCTTCACCAGCACCCATGGGCACCACACACGGAGCCAGCACCTGTGCTGCAGCACCCAGCCAGGGTGGAGGAGCGTGGGGTTGGAGCAGCCCTGCTCTCACACTGGTTGGAACACGGAGACGACAGGCTCCTGCAGCTGGAATACATGTTGCCATCAAGTGCCCTTTTCCTACTACCAGCACCTGGGCTCATGGCCAGCCCCTAGCCCAGTGTGTTGCTGAGAGCTTGGCCCCAAGTGCCCACCCTGCTCTGGGCTCCTCTGTGGTGCTTTGGCATGTGCCTGGGCCAGCTGGAGCCCTGGACTCTGGAGGAATGTGAGGGCAGAGCCCTGCCCCCAAGCCTGAGGAAATCAGACAGTGGCAACACAGAACCCCTCCAAGCTGCCACCAGGCTCGGGCTACCCCACAATGGCCACATCCATGTAGTGGGCACAGGGCACCCAGGCGCTCCCGCAGGACCCCACCGACTGTGGGTGTCCCACGGGACGGCCCAGGGGATGAGGAGGCACTGGATGTCACTGGACACTGTGCCAGGAGGAGGTGGCAGGGGCAGGCAGATGCCAAGAGGTGGTGAAGAGATGGAGTGGGCAGCCAGGCACTGCCCCTGCTCAGGAGCTGGTAGGATAGAGGAGGAGAAAGGCTGCTGCTCCTGGCTTGCAGGGAGGTGGATGCAACAAGGGCTGCTCCTGGGACAATGACAGGAGAAAGCCCAACTGCCTCCAAACTCTAGCCATGGGTGCCTATCTGGGGAAGCGAGGCTGGAAGCAGCCCTGCTCCCAAGAAACTGCTGCCAGGGGCTGTGGCCATCAGAGCGAGCCCCAAGCCCTGAGTGCCAGAGCCCAGGCCTGGGGGCAGTGGGAGCCAGGGCCCCTGTGTGCTGAGGCTGAGAACAGAACAACGAGGCTTTGGTGCATGCTGGCCTTAAAGTACCTGTACCCTCCCAGGCCAGGACCAGGGTGCAGCGCAGGTCCCCATGTGGCCTGTCCCCATCCCCAAGCAACTGTGATGGCCCCAAGCAGCAGCTCCTCATCCCACACTGCTCCATCAGGCACCCACCACCAGCAGCAGCATGTCCAGCCCCTGGCACCCACACCAGGGTGAGGGCTTGCCTAGAGAGGGGACCAGCCATCAGCAGAACAGCAGGTCTGGAGCCCCACAGCCAGGCACGGCCACGAGATGGGCCGGGATGGGGGGAGGCAGGGCCTGGCAGAGCGCACCCCTGGGGAAGGGCCCCGTGAGAGAAGCAGCCCAAGGAAAGGTGTTTGCAAGCAGAGATGCGGCTGACAGACATGAGAGCTCTGGCTGGAGGTGCTGGGGGAGGTTAACTGGGCACTGTGCTCCTGAGGACCCCTAACACCCTTCACCAGTCCCTCCTCATCCTCAGCTGTCACCAACAGACTGCCCAGTGCAGGCAGAGCAGCAGCGCCCAAGGGCACCTCTGTACCCAACTGGTCCCAGCCAGCCACCCAGGCTGGAGCAGTGATGAGAGCCTGGGTTCCCTCCTAGGGTCCCCCTTGCACCCATCACCGTCCCCTGCGCCCTGCTTGTGCCCCGGGGCTGGTGCTCCCTCCACACAGATGCACCGCACACACAGCATCACAAACAACCATGCATTAGAAACTGAAATGCTGCTGGGAGGCTCCGGGGCTGCGTGGCTCGCTCCAGCATGGCTGCGGCCCCATGGCACGCGCGGCTCCGTCCATCACACACAACCAGTCCTGTGGGGTGAGTCTAGCCGAAAATGCCGCCGAAGGTGGAGGCAATGACGATACCCAGGATCACGCAGCAGATTATGATCATGATCTTCTTCTGCTCAGATGTCCCAGCACCAGCAGGGAGAGAGGGGAGAAGGGACTGTGAGTGTTGGGGGCAGGCTGGCCCCGAGAGCTGGGGTCTGCAGTCTGCCCTGTTCCTGTTTGCCTGTGGTGGACTCTAAGCAGCTCCAGGGGAGCCAGAGAGGCTCCAGCAGCCCTGGGGCAGGGATGGGCACCCCAGCTCCCCCTTCAGCCCTGGGCTGGCAGAGCTGAGCTGTGTGCCCCTGGGACCCTGAGCTGATATGGGACCAGGTGTGGGGACCGTGACAGGCAGCTGGCACTGCGCTCAGGGTAAGAGCTGGACTGTGCCATTTCTCTACCTTTTTTTTTTTTTGTCAAGGGACATGGATCTCCCAGCAAGCCTGGCCCACAGGTTCTACGCTGTCCCTTTTCCTCCCCCCAAGCAGCACAGCCTGTGCCAGGGAGCTCTGCCCCAGCTGGTGCCACCAGCAGGACCTGTGCTGCACCCAGTGCTGGGGGGGTAAAGCAGCGCCCAGGCACTCGTGAGGATGTGCCACGGTGCAGGCAGTGGGCCTGCCCCCAGGATGGAGGTGTCAGCAGTGTGGGCATGGGAAGAGGGGCCCCAACCAGTGCTGTGACTCACCCGTCTGGCTTTGCTCTGGTACTTCACTGCTTTTTTGGTGTCAGACACAGCCCGCTCCACGTAGTCCACTGAATGCTCCACGTTGTACTCGATGCGGTCTATCATTTCTCCCTGCAGAGTAGGGACAGAGCCCATGCGCCCGCGCGCACGCTGGCGTGAGCCCTTTCCTGCTCTGCCGCTCCCCGGCACTGGGTGGATGTCACCCTGCCCGTCAGCCCTGCACGGGAGGGAGAGGGATCGTCAGTTGCCTGCAGGCAGTGGGTGCCCTGGGGTGGGGGCTCCAGGCCACAGGCTCTGTCCCACAAGGCTGGGACTGCTGTGCACACCCCGGCAGGGAGGCAAGCAAGGGTGAGGGTCAAGGGGGTTCCCCAGCCCGGTCCTGGCCTGGTGGCTGCCCTGTCTGATATTTCAGGTGACATCAAAGCCACAACAGGATCTACACTGACGCCGCACTGCATGCTGCCGAAACTGGAGGCATGGTGGGGGAGCAAGGACCGCACCAGCAGGGGTGGCCATGTGGGATGCTCACGAAATCACACACATGCAGGGACAACTGCTCTGATCCACACAAGCGCCCCGCTGAAAGCTGAGGGCCCCGGAGTAAAGCTGGACTGCAGGACTCTGCAGGGACTCCTGCCCTGCTCTGGCCCCAGCCCAGCAGCTGGGGATGTGGTCTCCTGTAGAGGTGGGGTCACGGACTGTGGCGAGCTCCCCTAGCCTGCCCACCTCCTTTGTCCCCATCCTGACTGCACAGGGAAGCAGGCAGGTGCTGCAGCAGCTGGAGACAGTCTGACAGTTCATGTATCAGATGGGGTTGGCAGGGGTGGGTGACTCAAAGTCCAGCGCCCTCCTGCATGGCACGGAGGAAATCGGAGCTGCAGAGTCAGGGAGGTCATGGCCAGCAGCTCTGCAATGCTCATTTCTCAGCCTAACGCTGGAGAGTCTTACAAGCCTGGGGTGCTCTGGTGTTACCCACGCCCCGCCTCTGCAAGCACTGACCCCCCACCAGGGTCCCTGCTGCTCCCTGCCTTGCCTAAAGCTGCTTCTCCTTCCTACCTGTGCCATGCCAGGAGCAGAGCAGGCAGCTGCCAGCACTGCTGCCAGCCCAGGGCGCCTCTGCTCCTGGTGCCACCAGCTTGGAGCTTCCCACTCCCCAGGGCAAGGCAGGGCGCTAGCCAGAAGAGCTGGGCAGGGAATCGTGAATCCACCACATCTGTCCTCCAAGGCAGCCAGGACGGAGCACCAATGTTGCCATGCCACAGCCGCCCTCGCCTGTGTGGCACGGGCAGGCCCTAGCACCATGCGAGAGCCACAGACATGAAGGGTGCAGCCATGCAGAGCAGAGCATGCAGCACTAGCAAGGGCTCAGCGGGGCTTTACCTGCCACTGATGTCTCCTCGGGCCGTGGCAGCATGGCAGACAAGAAGGGGGGTGAGCAGAGCCACTGAAGTGTGTGCCTGGCTGAAGGGCCAGGTGCCATGGGGCTGGTAGCGCAGCCAGGGGTGGACCGGCAGAACCACCGAGGCTGGTGGCACCTGGCAGGGCCCAGTGTTCTGGGGCAAATGCAGAAATCTCCGCCTGCATGGCAGCCACCTGTGGCCCTCCTCCAGAACTCATCGCCACACCGCCCTCCCCAGGCACGCAGCAGCCCCCAGCTCTGGGTCACAGGGCAGGTGGCTCTGACCTTGGGGAGCCCTGCTCAGCCCCAGTGGGAGCTGCATCAGTCCCAGATGCAGCTTTTCCCCGGAGCACCCACCCAGGCAGAGAACCACCAGCAGCCCCTTCGCCCTCCAACCTCCCCAGGTGAGCTGGCCACTGGGCTGCAGCATCTCCCTACCTGGCTCTCCACCAGCATGGCCATGTCCATGAACATGTCGTGCAGCTCTCGGATGCTGTTCTCCAGTTTGATGATCTCGCTGTGCCGTGTCTCAATCTCATTCAGTGCCTGCTTGGTGATGTTTGAATCCATAATGATCTGCAAGAAGACAGGGCCACTGAGCACTGTGCTCAGCCCCTCAGATGCCAACATTAGGGACACCAAGAGAGGGAATGTCAGGAGCCACTGAGCCCTTCCAGCCATGTGGCTTGCAACAAACCCCCACTCCACCCTCTGGCTCGGATGCAGCCCCTGCTCAGGCAGCATCCTCAGGCCAGACCTCCTGTGGGCTGTGCTCATCATTCCTGTACTGGGGCCACTGTGGCAGCATGTCCACCAGCCAACACCCCCGGGACAAGGGTGCTGGCTTGACTTTAGCCTGTGCTGGTGCTTACCCCAGAGGAGAAGATGGCTGGGTTGCCGCTCTCTAGCATGTCCTCCAGCTCCTCGCTAGTGGTGGTCCTGCCAGCTGCAATTGACACAACATGGGTCAGCCAAGGTTCTGCTGGCTCCATGACATCTCCAAAGAGTGGAGCAGAGCAAAGCTTCCAGCCATGCGAGCACACCGGGCAGTTCGAGGGGCTGCCATCCTGCAGCCCAGCTCTGTGCCAGCCCTGAGACTCCTCTTCTTAAGGGGGTCAAGCTGCCAGCTTGGCCCAGCTCACCCATGAAAGCCTGTCTGTCCCTCCTGGTCAAGCTGCTCATTCCTGCGGGGCACGAAATGGTGTCAAAGGACGAGCAGCCACCAGCACCCAGATGGCGGGCTGTGAAGGAGGAGGAATGGAGAGCAGGAATGGTCACGGCTCACCGAAA